TGATTTATGGAGGGCTGTGGTCTATGGTGGGAGCCCACTTTGAGTCTTGAAATAAATTCAGATGGCATTTGAGTTCTTTCTGCTCATCAAACCAGCAAGATGGCTGTGCACAGACAAGTCCAGGACAAACCTAGGGAGGGCACTTTGCCCTCAGGGAGACTGGGGTTCAAAGCAGATTATATTCACACAGAGAACTAGGGAACTTGCCTGGGTGTGTCCTTAATGATTGACTGAAAATAGGCACGTTATCTAATTTAAGTTAAAGCTTGGGGTCCTGGTATTGCCTTGTAGTCACCTTGTGGCTGACTTAGGACCACATGGTCATGACTCATACCCCACTGCCACACTGCCAGGTGGCCCAGCTCCAGAGCCAATCCTGTAACGTTTTCATCTCCAATCACGTATGTATTCTTCCATCTGTAGCCTCGGCTGCGACAGTGATGCATTCATCTGCCACCAGTCTTGGTTTTGTGACGATTCCCTTTGTTCTCTATCCTAAGTAATTAGCCCCATGGTCGTGACTCAGCAGACACCATTTGGCTTCTTGTACTGGGCACATACTGATGGTTTCCTGGATGACTGCCTTTGTCCTAAGGCTTAATAAAAGGGCCCCTATAGAAGAAGTTTGAATCTGGGGTCTTTTTTGCCCCTTGTACAAGTCTAGAGGTCAAGTGTCAAAGGAGCCCAGGTCGACCATGGGGGAGGGGAGGGAGTTTAAATAAAACAGGATCCCTCCCTCAACTCCCCAGGACCCCAAGGGGAGGCAACACTTGGGGGAGCAGGCAAGTCGACATATTGAGTCCCAGGGAACAAGAAAGGGGCCCTGTTCCCAGAACTGGGGCACAAGGTGGGGACAGTGTGTTGGGAATGAGGCCAAAGCTCAGTTAGGAGAACTAGGACACTGTCCATATGGGACTTGGGTTCCTTACATCTTTTGCCATAAGTCCCAGAGCATGGGGTGTGTCTGAACCTGGGACAGGCAAAATCTGTCAGCTTGTGGAGTGTGGAGGGGAGTGGGGGTATATTTAGGGTTGGGTGAAGCCATGGGGCCGTTCAGGGGAGCCCTCTCCTCTGCTTTTGCCCACTGGCCTGCCCAGTGTCGCTGCCTCCCTCCTGTCCAGCGTCCCCAGGGTAACCCGACCCCTGCAGAGAAGAGCTTCAGAGTAAACATCATGTTTATTTGGAACATTCAAATTTACAAAAACAAAAAAAGTAACAAAAACCATGACATATATCACACACACGTACACACACGTCGCATCTCATGTCACTTTATATACAAAATAGGGCGAGGAGGAAGGGATGGGGTGGGCTGGAGCTTGTGGGTCCGTTAGTAGGGGGGCACTGGTTCACAGTGTCAGGCAATGTGACATGCTTGCTCACTGCTCAGCCTGGGTCCACAGGAGCCCCTTCCCCACCAGCAGGGTCGGGGGGAGGTGGGGTTTTGGGGTGGCAGGCAGCTGGGACAAAGAGGGCAGACACTGATCCCATCTCTGGGAGGGGGCCCCTTCCCAGTTTCCTCAGACCTTGGGTGCTGGAATGTAGAAAAGGAGGAATCCCATTCTGGGGAAGGGGGGCCCCACATCGTGGAGAGCACTGAGCTCAGAGTCCTTGCATCTCAGCTGTGTGGCCTCCTAAGTGGCCCACCCCTGCCTCAGTTTCCTCATCTGTAAAGCAGGGGCTTGGGCCTCCTCCAAGAGCCCTTCCTGCCCAAGCCTGTGGTCCTGGGTCATGCATAATTGTGGTGAGGACACATGCCCCCTTGGGATGTTGGTTGGAGGCTGTACACCCAGCTAGCTGTGGGGGGTGGGGGGGGATCTGGCAGATGACAGCTGTAAAGCACCGGGTGCTGGTTGTGGCCCACAGCAGGAGTTGGAGACATATCAGCTGCCCTCCCTTCTCTGCCTGCGACTGTTGGGGGACACTCCAGCTCCCCTTTCCCTTTCAGCTCTCCTGGAAACTCTACTGAGTTAGGGAAGGGGTGCCAGAAGGGACACACTCCCTGATGGCTGCGACCCCACTGGTGGCATCTTAGCTCGAAGGCCAGCCCACCCCACGCCTGTTCCTCTGACTGGTGGTAGATAAGGCCAGGCCAGGCACATCCCTTCAGGCTGAAATTCTCCGGGAGCAATGGTGGGTGCCCAAACACCATTCCATTCCATGCACAGAGTGGGGACACCCATCCCCCTTGGGTTGAGGGATAGGCCCTGCATGTAACCTTCCTTGGTTTGAAATCTGGGCTCTACCACTTGCTGGCTGATCGACACTGGGCAAGTTACTTAACCTCTCTGAGCACCAGTGTCCTCACTTGTATAATGGAACCAAGACTAGTCCTAATTTGTAATTGTGTTGGGAGGATAAATGGGATAATGCCTGACACCTACTAAGGGCGTCACGAGCATGGGCACCATCATCATCCTTAACTACAACAACTTAGGGACATGGCCAAGCACCATTTCTAGCTCCTCCTGCCCTGCCTTCTTGGATATGCTAAGGCAGCTGAAGACACCACCAAAACATAGATGAGTCCAACCAGATGGCGCTCAATGAATGGATAAAGGGAGGGTGTGGACTTTGGGCTTTCATCTTCCTGGAATGGAAATGGGGTCCCAGGCCCCTTAGCAAAGATCCAGACTCAGAGCCCACACCCCAGTGTCTCCTCTTTGTCCCCATTTCCTCCAGAGGGCTGACCAGGGCGACTCAGTGCAGGAACAAGGCTCAGACGTCAGATGTCCCGTCATCACCATGACAAAGCACAAAGGACTTGGGATGATGTGCCCGGGTGGCCTCAAGTGACCAAACAAGTCCCACTCACACCTTCCTAAGGCCCTTTCCTTCCTCCAAGAGCCCCAGAGAAGCTGCTTCCCTGGAAACCGTAACAGAAACCCAATACAGTCCGGCATCCCCGAGACCCAAGTTCCTAATTCTGCCGTCACCCCAGCAACAGCACGTGTCGTTATGGATGAGACACTTGACCCAGCACTTGGGCTGATGTCATTGGCTGTTACCGGGCAACCTAGATCTCAGCAGGTGCTGGCTGAGCATGCCTCCATTGCTCCTTCTCCCAGGGGGAGTTGGACCGGAGGTGCTGAATAATCTATTTGTGCTCTTGAAATGGAAACAAGGAGCTGGGGGCTGGAGGCAACAAGTCTCGCAGAAGCTTCCACGGCATCGGGCCCCACAGCCTCTAGCTCCTGTATCATGCCTCTGGCTTAGTGGCCTGGGGAACAGAGAGAGGGGACAGAAAGGGAGGAAAAGGCACCAGTGCCCACGTGAGCCAGGTAGCCTGCAGCTGCCTGGACACCTGGCAGGTGGTGGCAGGGGTAGGAGTCCTGTGTTTTCAGCAATCCATTCCCACCAGAGCGCCCAGGGAACACACTCTCCTCCCTCCACCTCCTGGGAGATGCCAGCATGTTTGGGTGTCGCCTAAAGGAAAATGTCCCAATTGTCCTATTGGAACAATCCTGACCTCTCAAATGTCCATCGTCTTCGGTGCAGGCTGGACTCACAGGCCCTTGAAGACAGGCAGTATGGTATGGGGGAAAGAGCACTGAAGAGGAAGTCAGAAACCTTGTGTTACAGTCCTGGCTCGGCCCCATTGTGCTGTGTGATCCTGCACAAGTCACTTGCCTTCTCTGAGCACTTCCCCATCTATACAAGGAGTCAGAATGGATGGCCTTTCTCAGCTCAGCTCTGACATTTTCCCACTGCCTTGGCGGTGCTGGTGAGGGCTCAGTGGTGGGGACCAGGAAGCCACCAGCCTTCTGAGACAGTCTCAGCCAGTAAGGATGTCAGATGAGGAATCCAGAGGAAGGTGGTTTTTTTTTTTTTTTTTTTTTACAATCCATGTATGAGGTTGGCTTGCCTCGAACCTTGCCCTTGACCCTGACTCTCTGGAGCCAATTGCTGACCCTGACCCATGCCTATCCTGATCCCATCTGCTGCCCAGTCCCCAAACCTGTCCTTACAATGCTCCTGGGTCTCCCGGGAGGTTCTGGGCTAGCCCCACCCTATGCACTTGGAATCCCAGACCATCTGACATTCAATCTGGAGAGGCTCTCAAAATTGACTGAAGCAAGGGCTTCAGCTCATGGATAACAGAGCCCAGGCCCAGAGAGGGCAGGGCTTCCAGAAAGCCCACCACCACCCCACGCTTCTCCTCATCCTCACAGCTTCTTCCTTCCCTCCCCAGGGGCGGCAGGGCCACACATAGGAACTGGCCAATATGGCTCTGACAGAGGCTGGGTCCCCCAGGGCATGAAGCCTCTGCCTCAAGCTGGCCCCAGCTCAGGCTGCAGAAGCCCAGCGCTCGTCCTGGGCATGGAGGGCATGGCCATGCCAGTGGGTTGAGTACAAGGAATGACGGGCTGGGCCAGGCATGGAACCAACATTCAAACAACTTCACACAATGAAGTGAGGAAGCAGTCAGGAGGGGAGAGGAGGAGCAGGCTGGAGTGGGAGGCGGGGCTCCATCAAAGTCCCAATGAGCTTGACTGGCAGCTGTGGGAAAGGTAGGGGAGGGGCGAGTCCGAACCTCCCATGCTTCTGTTGGCCCCTTCTCAGCTGGGGGCACTGCTTTTCGTCTGTTCCGGCCCTGAAGGGGAAGGCTCCATACTTGCAGCATGGAGGGCTGTAGGGTGGACAGCCACCCCACCGCTGAGATCAGGGGCCCTTCATGGTGGGGTGGGGGCAAGAAAGGTTCCAGTGTAATGCCAGAAGGATGGGCAGAGCCGTGGGCACCGCTACTCCCCCCATCTGGCCCTGGATTCACCCCAGGCTTGACCTGGTGACGAGCTGCTGGTGCCATCCAGGTGGGGCTGGGGGACACCCACTGCAGGGGAGGGCCTTCTGGAGGTGTGGGGAAGAGGAGGAGAATGAGAGGCATGGCTGAGACTGGGGCAGAGGGGGGCCAGTGCAGGGGCAGGCTGAGAAGCGAACACGCCCCCCACCTCAGTCCCCAGAGGAGCAGGCAGGGGAGGGGCCCTGGACGAGGTGGCTCCTCAGGCCTTGGCCCTCCCCTTGCAGACATCAAAGGCAGCCTTGGTGGCACCCCCAAAGGCCTCCACTAGCTTGTCTTCCCAGGGGAGGAGGTTGCCCAGAAGTGGCTCAGTACAGTTGGCAATACCCAGGACCTGGGCAGGTGTCAGGGCATAGTCCCACAGGTTAAACTGGGCGATGTCACCCACGAAGGCCTGGGTGGCATCAAACCGGCCACCGAGGGTGTCCTGGCGAGGAGAGCAGCAGAGAAAGAGAGAGAAAAGGAGGGAGAAGAGTCAGGCCCCTGTGCCTGCCACAGCCTAGGCCCTGGGCCAGGTCTCTCCTCTCCCTGGGCCTCAGTCAGCCCGTCTGTAGAATGGTTGGGTCGGAATGAAAGATCACAGCTGTGCTTTCTTTCAGGTTCCCCTGCCCAGGTCCTCTCCCCGCCCCCAGAAAGAGCTGCCTTACCTGCTCCTGGCCCAGGATGAGGATTCCATGAGGCTTGATGGGGTGCCAGGCAGCCAGGTTCTCACCAGAGCCCCGCAGCTCACCGTCCTGGTAGGCAGACCACAGGCCGTCCCGCGTGGTCCAGGCAATGCAGATGTGGTGCCAGCCATTGTCCTTCAGGCTCAGGGGCAGCTGGGCCACCTGGACACAGGTCAGAGGTGTCACAAGGCCCAAGCTGGAGCAGCAGGGAAGGGACCCTTGCCCATTCTTCCAGAGGCTAGTCAAGGCTGGTCTTCTCCTTTCCTTCCCAGCATCTTTCCCTGACTTCCCTGCCCTCCCATCCCCACCAACCTAACCAAGTAGCCTCACTCAGATCCCAAGGAGTGATTCATTGTTGGTTTTCACTTGTTTCCTGGAAATTCCTTCCTCTTTAGTAGGCCTGGAAGGCCACGCGGGGTAAGGGCTGTGTCTCATAGCCCTGTCTTCCCTGAAACACTTTGCACAATGCCCTCCCCACAGCGCAGGCTCAAGACGTCCTGGCCCTGGCTCTGCCACTAACCCCCTGTGTGACCCTGGGGAGGCTGTTTTCCTCTCTGGGCCTCAGTTTCCTCACACTGAGGAGGTTAGACCAGGGGTGGCATATAATGTAGCCGCTGTCTCCTCCTCCACCCAAGGCAGACATGGCTAATCAATCATGAGCCTAGACTCAAGCCTCAGAATCTTCTCACCACAGTGCTCTGGGAAGCCACTGCTGATTGATGACAGTTGGCCTGGGAGATGAAAGGTACTTGCTGTCTGTGGATTTGATGTGCCCAAGGGGCTCTTTGATCTCCTAAGTTCTCGCGGATTACAATTGCCTGCAACATTCTCTGGTGCCTATTTGGTGCCCGGCCCTGCTCTGGACACTGGGGACGTAGCCTTAAATGAGCTGAGCCTGCACAGCAGGGAGGGATCTTAGGGAAAACACTGCAAGGCAAGATAACACAGGAGCCTATGGGAGGCCCAGAGGCTGTGACGGCCCAGAGGAAGGGGGGATACAGGACAGAAGACATGGTATCTGAAGAACACCTGAGGGACTGTGGGATCTGGCTGTTCCATGTGGAGGGCACAGCATGAGCAAAGGCGTACATCAAACCAGACTCATTGCCATTGAGTCAACTGCGACTCACAGTGACCCCCACTGCCTTTCCAAGGCTATAAATCTTTATGGAAGTAGCTGGTGGGTTTGAACTGCCAACCTTCTGGTTAGCAGCTGAATGCTTTAAGCACAATACCACCAGAGCTCCTGAGCAAAGGCTTAGAGGCTGGAATACAAAGGGAACAGTGAGCAGCATGCTAGGTTGGTGCTCAAAAGGACCCCAGAGGTTCCTGGAATAGGGCTGCTCAGTGCCCTGTCCAAGGTGCTGATTTCCTTGCAATGGGATCTGAGCTACAATCTCGGGCAGGGGCAAGGACTACAGACGGGGTGTATGAAGGGAGGAAGGTGGCATGATCTAGATACAGCCTGTCTAGCCCGATCTTCCTAGGACCACGTGAGAAGTTCGCTACCACCTGAGCCCATCTTCCTCCTCCTCCCCAGGACAATCGTGAAGGGCAGCTCCTGTGAAACTGGGTTAGGATAGGTGTCAACCACACTCAATGGCTCTATGTGGCTGTGGGCTGGTCACAGGAGGGTGCAATACACAGTGTCATATTTACAGGGGGTCTCAAAAGACCACCGTGCCTGCAAAACCCAAAGCCATGTGGCAGAGCAGGGAGGATATTGTAGGAGGAATGGAGGTGACAAGAGGCTTGCCTGCTCTCAGCCTTTCAATCACCATACCCCTGCAACATCATCTCCCACCCAAGGCCTCTCCTTGTCTTGTCCTACAGCTGGACCAAGGTAGGGAGCTGAGGATGAGTCCTGGGCATGGGGGAGATGGTGGCCCAAGGGAAGAACAGGAGAAGGATCAAGAGATGGTTTCTGGAGCCTGAGACCCCAAATTATATTATCATCTCTCCACCAGCTGTGTGATCAGGGTGTGTTATTATCCCTCTCTGAGCCTCGGCTTCTCCTTATGCAAAACAGGGATGACGCTGGCATCTGCCTCCCAGTGCTGTTGGAAGGGACACGAGTGATAATGTGAGTAAGTGCTGTTAGCACAGAGCCTCGGATGACAAAGACAGCTTACGTGTATCGAGCCTTGCTAATTGCTGGGTTCTGTTCAAAACACCTTATATGTATTTAAATCAGTTATTCTTCTCCACAACCTATGAGATACAGACTGTTATCAGTCCTGTTTAACAGATGGGGAAACTAAGGCATAGGGAGGCTAAGTGGCTAAGCTCACACAGTGGGTTAAGTGGCAGAATCAGAATTCAAATCCAGCATCCAGGCTCCAGAACCTGACCACACACCATTTTCCCCATAAATGGGCAGAGACAGAGGGCCTAGTCCCAGGGGAGTAGCAGGGAGAGAGGCTGCCAGCACTCTCTTCCTCCCCAGGTAAGTCCCTGGACCTCACTTCCTTGTCCCTTTTCCCAGGAGAATGAGCAGGGGCCATGGGGAGACATCTCCAGCCCTGCCCCTAAGAGCTAGATTATTGGGGAAGTCACTGAATCTCTGTGAGCCTCACATACCTCATGCGTAAAATGGGAGCAACCACATTTAACCCCTCTGTTAGACACAAGCTCCTCTTCAGCCAAGACCATGTCCTCATATTGCTTGCCTTTCCATTCCCAGAACCCAGCCTGGCATACAGTAGGCATTTCACGTGTGCCGAACACGCTAAACAGGAGAACAGGAAGAGCCAACCCATGTTTGGGACCCACCTGGACCAGGTGAGGGCTCCTGGAAGGGTAACCCCTCCCCTGCCCCCAGCCCAGCCCCTGATCACCTTGTCATTGATCAGCAGCTCCATGGGGTCATGGCCCGCCTCCAGCAGCACGATCTCGTTGGCCTGCCCAGGCACCGAGTAGGAGAAGGGGGTGCCCTGGCCAGTGCCACCCGACCGGGACCGCAGCCACACACAGACGGTGAAGGCGTATAGCTCCGGCAGCGCCTTCCGCACACGGGCGTACATGTAGTTGTTGCGGATCGGGATGCTGATCTTGAAGGCATCCGGAGGATTGTAGGCCGAGGACCCTAAGGGGCAGGGCAAGGCAGATGCGTGGGGGTCAGACACTGAAAAGGTGAGGTAGACAGGGCGCATACCAGAATGACAGCTAATCACTGCTGGCCCCTGCCAGGACCAGGCACTGAGCCACGCACCCTCACGTCCTTCACTCTGTCTCTGCGTTGAGGGGAGTGGTTAAAGCACAAGAGCCCTGGCTCTGAGATGCCCTGGGTTCAAATCCTGCCTCCACCACTCACTAGCCATGTGACCCTCAACAGTTAAAAATTAACCTCTCTATGCTTCAGTTTCCTTAGTAAAATGGGGCTAATATGCCACTAGAGCTCCCATGTAAAAGGCCTGGCCCATAGTAAATAAATACTGAATAAAATTATTACCACATTCTATAGTTTTTTGCCTATTTATTTAATGAATACTACAGCACTTTATTTCCCAGGCACTGTTCTAAGTGCATCTACATATATTCTCTCAGTTCTTGTAACAACTGGTAAGGTTCTATAAAATCACTATCTTACAGATGAGGAAACCCTGACACAGAGAGGTTAGGTAATCTTCTCAAGGGCACATAGCTAGTGAATGGCAGAGCTGGGATGTGAACTAAACAGTCTGGAGACAAGATTTCTGGTCTCTAAGCTATTTGTCAGCTCACAGTTTCTGGGATTCTACGTCTTGAATAAAATAAGACTTTCTGCAGGGGGCAGATGGGAGAGAAACTACCTTTGGGGACACCCCTAGCACACCCCCAGGGTGGGACAGGCACTGCCATCTGCCTGCCATCTCCTGACTCCTGGAGAGGCAGGAACCAGCTGGGTGTCGCCCCACAGGGCTGGGAGTAGGTGAGGCCTGGGAATGGAGGGTCCAGGATTCTCAGGTTTGCTTGGGGCTTGGGGTGGACTCTGATGTGATGCATCAAGGGGCTCAGTGACTGCCTCTGTGAACCCATTGCACAGATGAGGAAGTTGAGCACCAAGAAGGGAGAGACGTGCCCAGGAGCACAGAGACGTTCTGCCCAGTTGCCTACCTCCTTTCTGCCCCTAACCCCTTGGGAAAAAAACCTCACTGCCACTGAGTTGATTCCAACTCATAGCGACCCCCACTGGGCTTCTGAGGTGGTAAGTCTTTATGGAAGTAGATTGCCCCATCTTCCTTCCACAGAGCAGCTGGTGGGTTTGAACTGCCAACCTTCTACTTAGCAGTCAAATGCCTTAGGCACTGCACCACTTACGAGACACAGTATAGAGAGACTGTGCTTTGACATGTGCCACTTAACTTCGTAGGACTGGGCAGGGATTGAGGGTGCCTTTCCTGTCCTTGTACTCCAGTTGGGATGCTGGCCACAGACCCCACCAGGTCCATCCCTCCTATGCATCTGTGCCCCCACTAAGGCTCTTCCGCTCCAAAATTTTCTTCTCTCCATTCACTTTTGAGGACTAGTTTGAGGTCTACCTCCTTCAGGAAGTCCTCCTGGATTTCCTCTTCCTGAACTGTTCCACATCTAAGCCAATCCCAATCGCTCATTTTCCCCTGATCTTCCCAACTTTTCCGTAAGCCTCTTAAGGGAAGTTCCCCACAAGGTTTCAAAGCCAGAAGATCCCTGAGAACTCCTGAGTCCTAAATCCCAGGCCCATGAAAAAGAAATGACCTCCCAAGGTCACAGAACAAGCAGTGACAGATAAGAGACCAGAAGCCAGGCCTGCCCACTGTCCACCATGTCATGCTTTTCTGACCTGCTCCCCCTACCCCCAGCATGCCAAGCCCAGATGTCAAACAAATGACAGAATCCTGACTGACTGAAGGCATGCTGTGGGCAGTGGTTAAATGCATGGACTTGGAGTCAGAGAGACCTGGTTTGAGGATTAGATCTGCTGCTTACTGACTGTGTGATCTCGGACAAGTCATCTGACCTCTCTGGGCTTCATGTTACTCATGTGTGAAATGAGGCGAATATGACATTAGTAAAGATTAAACCAGCTGGTGTGTCAAGTACATAACTGTTCATGACGACAGTGATAGTAATACCCCCTGATTTTTCTCTCTCTCTTACATGCTGCAAGGAACTCTAGTGGTGCAGTGCCTAAGGCATTTGACTGCTAACCAGAAGGCTGGCAGTTCAAACCCACCAGCCACTCCATGGAAGGAAGACTGGGCAATCTACTTCCATAAAGGTTTACTGCCTCAGAAAGCCAACGGGAGTTGCTATGAGTCAGAATTGACTCGATGGCAGTAGGTTTGGTTTCTGGTTTGAGTTTTGTGTTCTGCAGTCTCCTCCTCACCACCCGCGCAGCTTCAGCCTCTGGATAGTGGATTGTACAGAAATGTTTCTCCAGTGACTCTGCTTTCCAAAGACCTACCCGAGGACCAAGGCCTCGCACACTCCGCCCCTGTGGGCCCAGGACTCACCGTGCTCCAGTTCAGCCACGCGGCCCTGCAGCGCGTCCAGCTCCTTCTCCACCTCCTGCCGCTGCCGGTGGCTGCTGTGGCTGAGGGCCGCACGCTCCTTCTCCAGGGCCAGCACCTTGGCCAGCAGCTGCCCCTCCAGCTCGTCCATCTTGGAGTGGAGGGCGGTGGGCACAGCGGGGGCTGGGGCAGGGGCAGCTGAGAAGTTCACCCGGGCTGGGAGCTCCTGCTGCTCACAGGGAAGAGAAAGAGGGGCATCTGAAGTCACAAGTAAGGAGGAACGAAGCAGCAAGTCTCTGGAGACACTCCAGGTGAGGGACCTCAGAGGAGTCTCAGCTTCCCCACATGCAACTCCAACTTCAGCCAACACATGTTTCCTGGGTGCTGATCATTGGGAAGTACAGAGAGTGAAGGCTTAAGGTGCTTGCTACTAACTGAAAGGTTGGAGGTTCATGTACCCAGATGTGTCTTGGGAGAAAGACCTGGCCATCCACTTCTGAAAATTCAGACCCGGCAAACACTAAGGAGCATGGTTCTACCCTGACACACAGGGGCTTGCCTTGAGTCAAAGTCAACTCAGTGGCAACTTGCTGGCTAGGAAAACCCAACCAAACTCACTGTCACTGAGTTGATTCCAACTCACAGTGATCCTCCTTGGGTTTCCGAGGTGGTAAATCTTTATGGAAGTAGATTGGCTGGTGGGTTTGAACCACCAGCCTTCTGGTTGGTAGGCAAATGCCTTAAGCACTGAGCTACCAGTTGGCTGGTAGCAGATTCTATTTCCACCGACAGGCCCTCCAAGGGGCGGACTGTCTTCGTCTTTGCTCATTTACTGACCAAGCGTCTCGAAGACAGTACTATGTGCAAGGCTCTATGCTGGTGTAACCCTAGGCTTCTGAAACAGGGCTCCAGGGGTGTGGTCATGCCAGGGTAAGATCACTGACTCTGGAGTCAGGCAGCCCAAAGTTCAAGCTCTGTAACCAGCTTGCTATGTGACCTTGGGCAAATCCTTTGATCTCTGTGGATCTGTTTCCTTACATTCATCATGAAACTTCTACTTTACCTACTGGGAAGGGCTGGTGGACGGGTTCATGGTAAATGCCAATAAATAGACCTTTTATTGAAATGGAGCACAGTGGCTTAGGGTGTGTGCTGAGAACCCCCCATTCTGCTCAGAATGAGGACCAGTGTTCAGAAGCTTCCATGCCAACCTATGATCCCAGCAGTCAGGAAGTCTGGAGCAAGAGCCAAGGGGGTCCTCTCTTTCTGCCCTGGGTGTGTGTGTGTGGGGGGTTCGGGAGAGGTGACACCCTAGTATCCTTTCCCCCATCTATAAAATGTGGCCTGGAATGTCCAACTTGTAGGGCTGTTGTCAAGATTAAATGATGAGGTGTGGCCGAAAGACCTAGTCCAAAGCCTACCCAGAGTGGGAGTTCAAGGCCAAGGGTTCCAGCACTGAGGGTAATGGGAAGACCAGAGTGGGGAGCTCTCAGGCCGGCCTGGGCCTCAGGGGGTGCCTCATAAACATTTGCTCACTGGATCTGCAGTGTGGTAAGTACCGCTGGCCTCCCATTTCACCAGCAGGGACAGTGTGTGAGAGTCACCCCAACTCTACTAAGAGCCAGCAGCAGAGCCAGGATTCCAACCCAGGCAGTCTGGCTCTCCAACCCATGCTCTTGATCACACCACCCCTGGCCTCTCCCAATACCTGCCCTGCAGCTCCTCTGGGAACCCTTCTCCTTCTCTGTCCTTTCTGTCTCCAATCTCTGCTGAGTGGCTCAGATGGGAAAAGTGGGTTGTCTCAAAGGGCCAGAAGTCAGGTACCAGTTCAAACTCTCACCCACGTGCACGTGCGTGTATGTCTGTGCGCACACGTGCTCGTGTGGACCTAGCAACCTAAGCAGGACCCTTGAGTAGCTTTTTCCAAAGTCTCCAGCCCTCCCCCTCCCCGTCTCCATCTGCTAGTGCTGGGAAGGGAGTGAGGATCAACCTTGCGTTCCAGGCTGTGAAACGTGGCAATGGGACGCCAGTCCCTGGGTTGTCCAGGCTGGCTCGGGGGAGGGACCCCATGACGTAGCTGGGGTGGCGGAGGCTCAGACCACCTGCATTGTCCACCCACATCCCAGGTAAGAGGTCACAGCCATCCATCAGCGCAGATGCCTGCTTGGCCACCAGGCGGGGGTGGAGGCCAGCTGAAGCAGGGGGGAGGCGGATGGGTGACCAGCTCAGCTCACCTGGCCTTACTCCTGTGACACTAATCATTGCTGTCTTAGCAGCTCCTTCTAACCCCTACGAATCCTGACTCTGGTATGAACCAAACACAAAACCTCAGTCTTGCCTTCCATAAAATGAGACAAACTGCCCCTCTGTTCACCCCACATGCAAGGATGGGAGGAACGAGTGGAGGGAACTGGCTCTTGGGGACTGTAAAAGCATTATGCAAACCCTGAGGCTTGGTCACATCACCTGAAGGGCAGCTTGCTGCCCCCAGGGCCTTCACTTGACCGCGGATGGCCCACTGGGGTATAGGGCCAACCTCCCTGCTGTCGGAGATGCCTGGGCTTCCCTGGTGCAGGCAATTAGTTCACAAGGCACATGTCCATCTCAGGACTGGAACGGGCCAGAGCAGTGTCTCCTCGGCACCCCCTGCTACCCTGTCCTGCCTGGCACTCCGTTCCCTACCCTCCCTGCGTAGCTTGGCGTGAGGGGCACATGACTGACCGAGCTCCTGTGCCAGGCCCGCGCTTGCATTTTACACGAATCCTCACAGCCACTCGCTGAGGCTGGTGCTTGCTGATCCCATTTTACAGATGGGGAAACCAAGGCAGCGTCCTTTAGAATTTTCTACAATGACATGGCTGGGCAGAGCTGGTGCTGCTTCTCTCTAGCAAAGCCTCCCACCCCCCTCGGAGGGAGAAACACCTGCCAGGAGGGAACAGGACCGAGGGCTATTGAGGAGGACAAGTACGGCTGAGCGGGCGGGCTCACAAGCTGTTCTGTCGGAGTTGCCAGCTCTGCGCAGCGCCAGGAAGGTGGGGGAGAGGGGGCTTGCCGCATCGAGTGTGGCCCCCTCCCCACCCGGCGTCTGAATCAGAAGAACACGACTCCCCGCCCCCCGCCCCACTTTCCCATCTGCTGCGGGTGCAGGCTGTGCCTGCGTGGGCTCCCGGCCTGATGCCAAGTGGGCCTCTGGCCCAAGACGGGGAAAGAGTGGGGCGGGTGACGATGCCATCACCCCTACTCAGCTGCTGATGGGCAGGAAAAGATGGGCTCAGAACCCACGGCCTCTCTCACTGGGAGTCCAGGGTGGGAGGTGGTTAAATATCCTGGGCCTGGAGCCAGATCCCGGGGTTCTAGTCCCAGCTTAGCTGCTAACGTGCTGAGCTCATTAGTACTAGTAGCAGTAAGGCTCGCGGCACTTGCTGAGCCAGGCACACACAAAGAAGGCCTTACAGACACTCCATGCCCCTCTCAACAACGTGGGGCGGGAAGCAGGCCCGCTCTACCGACAGAGGACTGAGGCTTAGAGGTCACACAGCTGCAAAATCACCAAACAGGACTCCAGCCCAGGCCCTCCCTATTCTGGAATTGTGCCCATTCCTCCATCCTACCCAGAGAGTTGGGGTCTCTGTCTGCTGGTCTTCCACACGGGGCAGTGCCAGCTTCCCTGCCCACCTTGAGGGCCAGTAGGCCATGCGAGGCTGCGAAAGGCCCACAGGTGGTGTGGGCAGCTTCATAGATGGGAACAGGGAGGAGAGCCAAGGCTGAATAGACATAGAGAAGACAAGCTCCTCATCCCGTCCCAAGGTCAGCACTGTTCCTGCGGGGAGCAGGGAGAAGGTGCTGGGCTCTGGAGTCAGGGTCCGACTCTCCGTACAGTCCACCCTGCCTGGGATAGCCCAGGGGCTGGCTCCAGGGGCGGCAGGGCAGAGTGGAACAGGAACAGGTGCTGGGGGCAGCAGAGTCGGGCACATCTCCTCGTCTGCCCCATCCGCTCACCCCCAAGTCCTGGAGGTCCTACTGTAACTGCCCAGGCTCACACCCTGGCTCCACCAACAGAGTGAGCTTGTTACATAAGGGTTCGTGCCTCAGTTTCCCCATCGGCAAAATGGGCACAAAGATGGCACTGCCCCACAGCACTGTAGTGAGGATTCAATGAGCTAACGGATGTAATACCCTTAGGAAAGAGTAGGCACGCGCCATGCCATCTGTCAGCTATTTTTATCATGATTATAATACAATGTTATATAATGATATATGTATTATACATAATATGTTACCTAGTTATCGTCTAAGTAATATTACTAATAAGCCTTTCCTGACCTCCAGCCCTAAATATTTAATCATTATATTAGGAGAAAGGAGTTCTGGTGGTGTAGTGGGTAAAGATCTGGCTGCTAACCAGAAGGTTGGCGGTTCAAACCCACCAGCCGCTCTGAGGGAGGACAAGGAGGCAATCTACTTCCATAAAGATTTACAGCCTTGGAGAAGCAAACGGCTGGACCTGTGTGTTTGGGACCATGATCGCTCACGTGAAGCTCAACTGGCGTAACAGACTACACAAAAACAGTGTTCCACATCCTTTGGTGAGTAGTGACTGGGATCTTAAAAGCCTGCCAAGAGGCCATCTAGATGCAATGATGGGTCTCTCCTTGTCCAGAGCAAAGAAGAATGAAGGAAACCAAACATTCATGGAAACAATTAGTCCCAGCGACTGGTACACCATGCGATCCACAGCCTATATGACTATGAGACCAGAAAAACTAGATGGTATCCGGCTACCACTGTCAACCACTTGGAGGGGGATCTGTGTCGGAGATCCTGGATAAAATGGGAGAACACTGTGAAACAAAACTCAAAATCATTTAAAAAAAAAAAAGGGAGACCAGGTTTGCTGGTCTGGTAGAGCCTGGGGAAACCACTGAGACTATGGCCCCTGGCTGCCCTTCAGGTCTGGAATTGAATCCACTCTTGGGGCTTCCAGCCAAACAAAAGGCAGGCATATGAGCTGAACATTTACATCAGGTAGATACATTCCTTGGAGAGATCAGTCATGGGAGAATAGAAGGGCTGTGTATGCACAGGGAGACATCTCAGGAGGCAGGAGTGCGTGGGAGAGAAGGACACAGGGAAGAGGTAACTATAGGAAGGAAGTGGGAAGAGAGCTGTTGCACTGTAGGAAATTACAGTCAATGTCACGAGACAAAGTATATGTGAATTGCTGTATGG